TGTTTTCCTGAGCCGATTCTCAGAAATGGGAGAGGACCTGTATCAGGACTTTCTCAGCAGATCTCTGGGGGGGGGTGGAGGGTCTGTTGGCTTTTAAACGAGATCCTTTTCCTTTTCTTTTTCTTTGAAGCCACTGTTAGTTTTCCTACAAATAAAGGACACTGCCCGGTAAAGCTCACAATCTGAAATATCTCAGAGGATTAAGGCCTCGTCCTGTAGATCCTGACTAATTTTGGTCTAAAAAGATCCTTTCATGGCTCTCTAATTAGAGACATAAAAGAAAACATTAAGCTTGGAGCGTTTTTTGGCCCAAACACACTTTTCTCCTCCTTGTGAATCAAATCCAAACTCAAAAAAGGTGCTTCATCTGAACTAAAGAAGATTAGACTCCTCACCCCCCCCCATTTTCCCTCCTAATCTTTTAATCCTTTCTCTGTTATGAAAAAAGTGACTTACAGTTACCGAAGGCCTCTGATTTAGTTATCCAGGTGGGAAAGTGATCACTTAATGTGTAGATTTCCTTTGAAAGGTTCTCATTATTAGCAGATGTCTGTGGAGGGGGGGATGAAGGGAAGTTTTACCCCCCCGCAGAGACACAGGCTGATTGAGCTGGTTCCTCTGGAGCACATCTGTCCAGAAAATGAGTCTCCTGCTCTGGGACCTGACAGATGTGTGAGTATCAGCATTTAAAAAGAGTTATTTAGACACCAGAACACAAAAACAGAGAGTTTTTATCATCTTTTCCTTCGAACACCAGTTCAAAGTGCAGATTATTTATTATTTTGAAGACCAAATGACCCTAAATTCACACTAATAGATCATTGGAACATTGTTTTTGGGGGATATGGAGTTATTCTGTATTTTACAGAAATAAAACACTGAATGTTGGTGTGTATTCGGCTCCAGTGTCCCGTTTCTTAAGCGTCTACACCAGGTGAGATTTGTCTGGAGGAGAAGAAAAGAAAAAAAGACATCAGGTGTTCATTTTTTAGTTAATATTTGACAAACTGAATTCCTTTAAGGGGCAGACGCGTGCAGCCAGATGAAATATATATATAAATCTTGACTAGAAAAAAAAAGGGGAGAAAAAAAAGGAAAAGGGAAAAAAAGAGAGAGAAAAAGAAATAAAAGGAAAAAAGAAAAAGAAAGAAAAAAAAGAAAAAAAAGAAAAAAAAAGAAAAAAAAGAAGAAAGAGGGGACAAAAGGGGGAAAAAAGGAAAAGAAAAAAGGAAAAAAAGAAGGAAAAAAGGAAAAAAAGAATAAAGAGGGGGAAAAAGAGGGGGAAAAAAGAAGAAAAAGGGAAAAAAGAGAAAAAAACAAAAAAGGAAAAAAAAAGAAG